CTAGCTAAAATGTCATCCGAGTACCCGCAAAAACAAGAAACTTTGAGAGCTTAATAAACAAAATTCTAACCATCCTAATAATTTCAACAGATGGGACATATAATCATCATCCTTCCAGCTAAAAGACTCCGCGCAACCATCGCCTATCTAAACTATCAATACGAAGGAGGAGCACGCGACGGAGGAGCACCCCAAAACACATCATGTTGAGCCATTTGATGACCATTTGGCATAAAACCAGGAGGCGGAGGCATATTATAAATCGGCGGCGCCTGCTGCATCGACCCTTCATTTTGATTATCCCCACTCTCAGTATCATCATTCTCCTTCTCCTTCTTCGCTTCCTCTAGTTGCGGTTGCTGCTGCAACTCTTGTTGCTGATCATCTTCAATAGGTAACCTCTCATAAGTAGCATTGCAAAAAGTAGCAGCAATTACAATAACCGGTCCAGAAGCGATAAGCGGTCCCGCAACTCCACCTCCAACAACTTGACCCTGAGCACCAGCTAAGTAAATGGTTAAACCAGCGGCTGCAGCCGGAGAACCAGAAGTTGGAAGAAAAGCACCACACATCGACAAGATCTCAAACTGACCACGCAAGCTCACAACTCCTCCAGAACCAGCAGGCTGACGCAGAGTAACATTAGTGACCAAACCGCTACCGCTAAGAATCGAAACGCCTCTACCACGTCTACGAGCAAAGGCGTTTAGGCTCTCCGCCACGTCAGCACCAGTGGCGATCTCAAGGACATGGCTCTGAAGTGAGTTAGGGCTTTCTTTAGTAACAATCACTGGACTCTTCGGTTTGTTCTTAGAACCAGGTGGTCTACCTCTTGGACGTCGACCAGTAGACCCGGATCCAGATCCGGGTTCGACAGCGGGTTGCTCGTCTCGGCTATTCTGTTCTTCTTGGCTCTGAGTCTGAGTATTAGGGCTTCCAGTACTGTTGTTGTTGGTGAAGTCATGGTCCAATCTTGGATCCGAACGGGTCATAGTCGTGTTACTGTTTCTGTGGTGCATAGACGGAGCTGATGAAGTCACTGGATTCTCGACTCCACCGATTGCAACATTACCAACCCACCAAGGATTCGCCATTGATTTTACTTTCTTTCTTTCTTCAAGTGAAAATGAAATTAAAAACCCTCTCTTTTTTTTTTTTTGCTTTCCGACAAGAAACTATTACAAGAAGGAGAGAGAGAATCTGAGAAACCTTATCTTAAACTTTTGTAATAACCAAATCCAAACCAACATGTTGCATGAACCAGACACAGAAGACATGGGACATCATTTGTTTTTTTATCATTATACCTGA